AGGGTGTGAAGGGGTTAGAGGCTCAGCAGCTTCTAACTTGTGTTAATGGGCCCTGCAGAGAGCTGGAAAGCCCTACCTGTCCTCATTTCTAGCAGGTTTCTTTCAAAAGCAGGAGAGAATAAGACACTGTAATCACATTATACCCAACAGAAGTCTATTCCAACCAGCTTTGTGTCAGACTCAGTGTAAGACTTTACATTGAAAACTCAACTAGGTATCAGGAATAGCATCTAAATTATCCTACACGTTGGGCTCCAATCTTAAGGGGTAATTAACCTAGATACACAGGAGATCTATAAATTACCCCCCTAAAGCTCTCAGAGAAGTGCATTACAGGAAATACCTCTGCTTGAATTATGAAGTAAAACTGAAAACAATTGCCTAATGGTTTCCATACTGATTTCATTTAAAATGTGTTCTCTGATTAAAAACCCCAGGGCATCAGTTCGACAACTAAGAAGGATATAGTTTAAAGTCCAAATGCTATCTAAACCCTAGCTAATGACTTAGAAACATGTATAGAAGTTTTGATGATAATGAAGGGACACAAATGAGAAATAATCATTTTAGCAAACATATTACAAATCATACTACAGTGGTCCAAAAGAATAATGCTGTTTGAACTTACAGGTATGACCTTACACACACATGTATACACACACACAACATACACAACACACACACAGCCGCTATAGACTAGCTCTGAATCATACAAACCTTGGTAAAAAATTTTTTTAAAAATCAAGCTTCTGTTATTGTTAGTTGGAAATGAACTGGGGGGGAGGGAGGTTGGGAGGAGAAAAACTGGGAGAAAATGAGGGAAAGGGTGACACTGTTCAATAAGATATGTACTCATTAACTGACTTACATACCTGTAATCCTCTGTACATCACCTTTACAATAAAAGTTTTTTCAAAAAACACCAGGCTTCACAATTGACAACATGTATGACCTACTTATGTTCTCTGAGCTTTTATTACCTTAACAATAGGAATATTAATGATACTGTCCATCCCCGGATAGTCTTAGAATGAACGTGCCTGGCACTTACTTGGGCGTCAATAATCTACTGTGTGTGTGACACGCAGCGTCCTCCCCGTGCGTTCCCTACAGGTCCGTGACTTTTATTTCCAGCTAGGAAGTAACCTTTGTGCTAGCTGGTCTATCTTATCAAAATTTTGCTTACTCAACAGTGTGAAAATGATTAGATGAATAGTTAAATGACATTTTGCAAATGAAACATGTTAATTGCTTCCATGGACACTCATGCTCCCGAGTTGTGAGTTTCATGCAGAGTTACAATGCTGCTCTGCTGGCCACGCCCCGTAACAGGCCTGCCCCTCCCCATGGGCGGGGCCAAACCAATGCTGCTCTGCTGGCCACGCCCCATAACAGGCCTGCCCCTCCCTATGGGCGGGGCCAAACCAATGCTGCTCTGCTGGCCATGCCCCATAATAAGCCTGTCCCTCCCCCATGGGTGGGGCCACGCCCATCTTGCCTCTGGGGGCCCCGCCCCACCCCCCGTGGGCGGGGCCACACCCACTCTGGGCTGGCTCCAGGGGCTCTGCGCTTCCTGCAGCAGGGCCAGGAGTTTGCAGGTTGGAAAAGGCCTGTGAGGTCAGCTGATAGTGAGTGAAGTGGGCCATCGTCTCTGCAGGAATGATCCCATAGGTGAGCGCCTGGGCAGGGTCTGCAGATTACAGGTGGACTGTTGCACCTGTGACCAGGACTGAGGAGCTGCCTGCGGAAGCCGAGGGCAGTCCATGGCCACGCAAAGAAACAACCCACAAGGAAACCAAACAAAACCAAACGACAACCACAACAGCAGATAAAATCAAACACCCAGCCTGAAAGGAGGACGTAGGTCTTAAACTCCACAACTGGAAAGAATGTTTGAGAAAAATCTCTGGTCTTGGTGAAGATCACAGCCCTGGCTAAGACCTTGAGCCCAACCAGATCAGGAGCTGGGCCCGGGTGGACTCAGTTTCCCACTGCCGGATGCCTGGGCCGCAGGAACTGTGAGATGAGGGATTTGTGCTGGTGCTGAGAAGACAAACCGAACACCGAACACAAGAAAGGCCAGCTTGGCCTTGCAGGGCAGGGGTGGGCGGGCGAGGGGTGAGGTTGCCTTCCCCAGAGCCCCAGTCCACCACGGAGTGATTAATCTTCTACCCACCCTGAACCACTGACACTTGTGAGAAGAAGACGATGCAGAAAGGAACATTACCAACTGCAAGTGCTTAGGAACTTGAGTAACAAACTCTCTATAAATATTAGATTAAAAAGACATGAGCAGCTTGTCCCATTATAGAAGATAATAGAATTTGATCAGCTAAATCCCGAGGCTTTATAAAGCCCAAATTATGTAAACAAGCTTAATGGCTTTTGGAGAAAACTACAAAACTGGTAGTAAGGAGAATATATAAGAAATACTCTTTACTTGGAAGTTTAAGCTTCACGTCCTGGAACACGGATGCATATTTAATTTTTAAATATGGATGCAAGGAGAATAATAAAGAGCACAAATTGGGAGATGGAATATTATTAGGGATCACCAGGCAGGAAGAAGTAAATAAAACTTTAAATCTACAAGCTGAAGGTTTTTGAGGGAGAAGATATTGCTAAATATCCAAGGGAAATAGAAACCAAAAAAAAAAAAAAAAACCCACAAAAACCTTAGGATGTTGAAGAACTACGTACAATTTAAAGATGTGAATACTAGAAATATAAGTTTATAGTCTCACAAATGATAAGGACTGCAATAACCATATTTTATAGAAAGCCCTAAGATCTAAGCAAGGAACTGTCATCACGTTGTGGAAACACGATGAGATATACAGAAGATTGACTAGAAATCTTCCCTCTTAGTAACCAGCTATGTGGCAGCCAACAGGCTCTGACATCAAGGGTGACATTTCCTAGACTCTCTTCACTTGCATCGGATGCCACCCAGCCCAGGACTCCTAGACAGTGCTCCATCCTCTGCTGTGTTCACACTTCCGCTGGATCCCACAGACATGAGGCACTTCTTTCTTTACATCGATTTAAAAACATCACCCTGCAAGTTGCTTCCATCCAACCCCCAAAATCTTTTCAACAATCTGTTTCTCCAGCTCAAAATGCCAATGGCAACTGAAAAACATTTGAAACAACAACAAGAACAAAAAGAAATCAATCGTTTTTCTTCTTCTTCTTATTTTACAATCCCATGGTCTATTCTGACCGGGCCTATCTCCTCCCTGCATCTGAGCCTTCTCCTAGGCTCAAAGTGTTCCAGCTTTGGAGTAAATGCTTCCAGTCATTGGAGTAAACCTGTTTTGTGCCTTGAGACATTCATTTGTGGATTCCCCCCTTTTTTTTCTTCTCTTCCTCAGCTTTTAAAATGCCTTCTTTTATTCTCTAGGGTTTGGGTCTGTATGCCTTTTCTCATAGTATAGAGTGAAAGATGAAGACTATGCAGCATCTCAGCATGGCATTTCCTCTTCTACTTGAGCACAACTCTTGGAAATGGAACAGCCTAAACCAAGCAGTGTGGTATCCTACCCTGTTAGTGATGGTAAATCCATGTTTTGTTTTGTTTTCCAGAATAAGGAAAGATAGAGGGCTAAAAGCTGCCAGCTAGACTCAAAAGCGAGATTCTTTTAAGGTCACTGGATACAATGATCCTCATGACTTCCTTAAGTGATAGAAGAAAAGTCTTATTGTATTTCACTGTTGCCTGCTTAAACCTGGATACTCAGTCCCACTGCGGTGACACTCTCCTACGAATGGAGACAAAGTTAAAGACTGGATCTATGTGTCTGTGAGCCCTTCAATCTACATACATGAAGGCCAGCTCCTCGCAAAGCAGCCCTTAGTTTTGTGTGCTTTTCACATGAGAATTATAGTTTTGATTTTCTAATTTTCTTTTGAGATGTATATAGAAACTATATGTCAGGAGAAAGCTAGACAAAGATGGAGTCCAGAGCTGACAGATCACACGTGACCTCCAGGAAGAACAGAAGTGAAAGTCAGCAAGAAAGCTCACAAGTGTCTGGACATGAGCCTCATTCATGGAGCCAGTACATAGTGGAGATCTTACACTCTTTTCTGGTATTTTGGAGGCTAAGGGGGTATTATTGTCTGCGTAGAATTTTCTTTCTCCTATCTTAGAGAACTGTATAGCCTAGACACGGGGAGATTATAAGAATGCAAATCTCATTTCAGTGCACTAAAATAAGAAGGAATGAAATAAAAACTAGGTTCTCTTCCCAGATAAATTTCATGAAAGGTTTTCATGTGATCTTCACTAGCGCCTAACGTGGATTTCAGTCCAGGAAGATTCCTTCCAGAATCATGGAAAACAGAGGTGTGAGCTAAAGCTTCCCTTCGCAGGGACCTGGGACGTGCTGAACAGTGACTCCAGTTCTTAAGTTACTTATAAACGTACTTTTGTGGACCAGTTTTCACTCTCCACTTCAGCCTTGCAATCTCACAACATTCTGGGTTTTATTCTTAGATATGTATTTTTTGTTGTTGTTGTTGGTCGTGGGGCTTGATCTCTGGGCCTGGGCTCTGTCCCTCAGCAATTCAACTCAAGGTGAGCACTCTACCATTTGAACCACAGCGTCACTTCTGGTTTTCTGGTGGTTAATTGGAGATAAGAGTCTCATAGACATTCCTGTCTGGGCTGATGTTGAACCATGATCCTCATATCTCAGCCTTTTTAGTAGCTAGGATGACAGGTTGTGAGCCGCGGGTGCCTGGCTTAGCTTTGTATTTTTTTTAATGCCAAATATTAATTATTTGAGCCAGAGGTAGACTTCCAAAACTAATATAGTATCAGAAGGTTTTATTGCTTTAAAATAGGTTTCACTGTTTTACCTCACAAACCCAGTAATATTTAGCCTCTTAAATGCTGTGATGAGAATCCAGTACTGAAGAAAGAACTCGTGCATGGACCTCTCTACCCTCACAGACAGGAACAGCCATCGCAGAAAGCACAAATGTGACAGCGTTACCTGTCATGTTGCAGTAGACTTTCAGAGGCCCCAGAGGTCCGCTGCCATCAGGATCTATCCAGTAGTAATTTGACGTCTGCCCTAAGTGTTTGTATGCTTCACAGGATGGCTCATAGATAGCTGGAAAACAAAAATCCAGGGTGAGTACACAAGACAAATGCCTTCCCAGATAAACTCTGCAACCCAGGCCCAGCACTGGTGTGTGAGGCATAGAAGAAAGCCCTCTTCATGGCATAAATATTCTTTCTTTTCTTAATTAAACCCGTCACTTAGATTTTTTTCCCCACCTTTCAGCCCTAAAAACAAAACTGGTAAATTTCTGATATGATGTGGTTGTTGGGAAGAGCATTAAGACAATAGATTTTCTGAAAAAATAAACTATAATATATTAGCAGGGCTCATGATCATTACAAAAATTTAATCTGTAGTTATTTATAGCTATCCATTTCTTACTTTAAGAGACTTCATTTGGAAAGGCCACAAAATATTCGCTGGCTTTTAGACTATCAACTAAGACATCATAGAAAATTCTCTCTCTCATTCTCTCTCTCTCTCTTTCTCTCTCTCTCATACACACCCACATTTTTTGTACAGCTAATATGAATTTCACACAAACAATACATGAACTCAGAGCTTCATTCTTGCTAGGCAGGTGCTTTACTATTTTACCCACACCTCCAGGACTTTTGCTCCTGCATTTTGCCCAGATTAGCCTAGACTACACTCATCACCACACTACTCACATTGTGGGGGTGAGAGATGAGCCCTGCCACACTCAAGTTTTTCAGTTAAGAAAGTGTCTTTCCCTCCCCAGTGAAATCTATCAAAATCTGAAGAAAGAAAGCACGGACAGCATCAGGAAATGGAAAGACCTCCTGTGAAAATGACCCCATTACCAATTTAAAGCAAACCCTATCTAAATTCCAATGAGGTTCTTCATTGTGATAGAGAGAACAACCCAAAACTTCATATGAAACTATAAAAGACTGCAAATAGCCAAAGCAATTTCAGGCAAAAATTTAAAACAAAGCATCGCTGATGAGATTGTGATCATAGGCCTCAAATCTACTACAGAGCTATAATAATAAAAACAGCCTGGTAGTGGTACAAAAACAAGCCCAAAGATCAGTGGAGCAAACTAGAAGGTCCAGAAAAAAATGCCATATACTTATCTGTTACTTGACAAGGGAGCCAAAAATATACAATAATTGGTGTTGGGAAAATGTAGAAAACTGGCAGGGAGTTGGGGAAACAGGGACACTATGGCACTGTTGATTGTTGGTAGGACTGACTGTAAACTAGTACAACCAGTCTGGATGGCAGGCTAGAGGTTCTTCAAAAAAACAAAACAAACCTCTATGATCCAGCCATAGCACTCCTGGGCATCTGCCCAGAACATGACATGTCAGGAAGTGGTAAAGACACTTCTACACCCATGTTCATTGCTGTACTGTTCACAGTAGCCATGGTATGGAATCAGCTCTGATGTCCCACACTGGATGAGTGACTCAAAAAAAAAATGTGTTACGTATGCACAATGGAATTTTACTCATCCATTAGAAAGAACAGTGTGAGGTCATTTGCAGAGACATGGTGGACCTGGGATGAAATCAGGTAAGTGAGGTCAGTTAAGCTCAGAGACACAAATGGCACACATTTTCTCTCATAGGTAGAAGCTAGATTTAAATATTAATGGACCCAATAACCTATATAGGAATCTAAGCATTCACATATACGTAGTCAGACTAAAGGAGAAAACCCTTAGGGGAGGAACCCAAAGGTGTAACTCCCTGGAACGTTTAAAATCCTATTTATCAAAATGAATTCCAAGAAATAAACACATGGGTTTGTACGGTTGTTATTGGTGGTGGTCATGCTTATTTTTGCTTTTCTTTTTGTTCTTTTTAGCAAGTGAGTGGGGTGGGGGTGCATAATGGGAGGAAGGAAGGGTAAACAATGGACAATGAGCTATGCCACCCATGGGCAGGGATGGGAAAGGGAAGGGGGGACAGGAAGCAAAGGGAGGGATGACATTGCCCAAAAAAGAAACAGATGCACTCATTGAATTGTGAAATGGTAACCTTCATTCAACACCTTACTTTTTAAAAAGCAAAGTCATATCAAGAAGAAAAACAAAGAAGAAGTCTTTGAACTTGCTAACTTAGGGTGGCCTAAGCTGTGATCTTCCTGGTTTGGGCCTCCCAGGTCCTTAGCGTCACAGGAATGAGTCCCTGGCTCCCTGCCTAATCTTCCATTATCTCAGGGGGAAAAAAAAAGGAAAGCTATTTTCCTGATTCATTCTGTTACAGGTGCTTTAATTACTTCAAATCTAGTTTGGGTAAAAAACTGACATTCACGTAATTAAATGATAGGTTCTTTCTCATTATTTTCCTTTTTTCTTCCCATGCTTTGTGACGAATTTCTTTTCCTCACAGAGGCTGCACCTGTTTGCAGAGGTACTAAATGGATGTTTTACATGCCTCCTTTATAATGAGATTGTCTAAAATTTAAAAAACATTTCTCTCAACAGTTCCACATTGATGATACGAAGACTGTGAAAGAGCTCTTAACAAAATTAAGAATTATTGCTGGTTTTAAAAAAACTATCTAATCCACAAGTAGTGGAGAATTTCTATGAAGTCCACTTGAGTCACACTTTTAGGCTCTTTGGCGTGTTAATATGGAGTCTGAGTCTCCCTTTCCTACCTTCCTCTACCAAGATTTTCTCCTCTTTAGATTAACCTGGATTCCTCTCTCAAAGGATACCTTCAATTCTCTTTCCAATTAACAACTCCACATTAGGTAAAAAAATACTTCTAACATGCTTTGGTTTCTTCATTTTCCCTTCTTTCCTGCTGGAAGTAGTTACTGAGTGTCTCTGATACACCAGGCAGTGGGTTAGAATCTGTATAACTCATACCCAAGATCTTCGCAGGAGATATATGCTATAGTCAGGTGTGTATAGAAAAAAGGGTAACAAATAATATGTTGTAGGGAAATGACTTACAAATTACAGAAAAGATCATGGTGTCATTGCTACTGGCGAGGTGAAAGCTGACCAGTAGGTGAATTAATGCAATTTGAGAAAGGAGGGTGTGGATGAATTCACACGTTCCTAAGACCAATAAGGAGACCAACAGGATAAAAGCAGATGTGAGAAATCAGAGCTAAGAGTGATCTAAACTCACAATGACTAAAAATGAGCTACTTCACTAATCACTAACGTAATGCTCTAGATTATTAAAATTTTGGCAGATGGTTCAAAATAATCTAGAATATGGAGTCCACATTTCAAAGTCTTCCTCTTACCCCTCAGGGCAATCTAGCATTAAAAGTTTTGATTTTGCTCTTTCTAGACTGTAATAAGGAATCATTCTCATTTTCTTCTTTCCAAACCCCAATCCCTTTCTTTACAATCAGGTTCAGTTTGTAGTAAGAGCCAGAGTCAATGGCTGTTCTCTTTATTTCTTACCCAAGGGTGCTTTTCATCTTTATCATATTGAAGTGTGTGTGGTGTTTCTTCCATATTTATGATATTAGATTATGAATATAAGAATTTTCACGTGTCATCCGTGGCTTTATTGCGTTGCTAAACTTAATGTCTGGTTGAGCGGATTTGCTTCAGGTTGCTTAGACACAGCAATCCACAGGTCTCTTTCACCAAGTACAAAATCCTCAGCCAGACTTATCCATTAAGGCAGACATGACGAGACACATGGTTCTGTAGTCAAATACGCTTGAGTCTCAGTGGTGACCGAGTTACCTAGCCATGTTGAGCCTTGTGTGGAGAAGACACATAACTATATGCCAGTGACATCATGAGGAAGAAGCAAGAATCCACATCCATTTCTTCACACAGTGGCTGACTCCTGGTAAGACTTTAATGGGAGTACACATGGCATTTCTGCCCCAATCTCCAAATTGCTATTTGGGTTCCACTGAGATTCTCCTTCTGGGGAAGGCTCCTCTCCTCTACATGTCTACTCCAGGGTACTGACTGCTTCTCTCATGGTCTGCAAATACTTGTTGACAGTTGTTGGGACATCTGATTGATTTATTGAATGTCATCTGTGACAATATGTCCTCATAAGACTCAGAATCACCATGCAGACAAGAATCTGGGAAGTGTTTCCCTTTTCTATTCTGTATGCTTTCACATAGGAAAGAAATATAACAGGAAAGAATTTGCAACGTCCCTATTCCTTGTCCTGTCCTGATTTTGAGAAAGGATTTTTGGTTGGATGAGCAGGAATGGATGCATGTCCAATCATGACTGAATGATCACAGCAAGAGTAGTTCACTCCTCACTGAGTTTAGGCCCTGCGGAAGGGCATTTTAATAAGGGCTGTAGACCTTTGCTCAAGCAATTAACTAGCAGTAGATTGTGGAGATACGTGGTTGTGAAAAATTTTGGTCATTAAGGATCTTTTTCTCATTTTCTTCCAAAGATAATAATAGTCATTCCAAACTGCATGTGTCTGCCAATCACCTAGGACGGTTGTTAAAATAGAATTCCTGATCTCACCATAGAGAGCCTGACTTGGTTGAGAATTTGTGGTTGCAACAGGCTCCAAGTGAGGCGGTGCTTTCGTGTCAGGCTGCATTTTGAGAGGCGTGGTTCTAATCCAGAAAAGAGAATCAACTCAAGAAGAGTAGATGGTTTTTCTGTGTATTTTTAAACATCGGGGGGGGGGGGGGGAATGGGGCACAAAAAGGCAATATAGTAAAAATTTAAATAAGGCGAGAAGGGGGTTACAATGTGGTTTTAATGCCATTTCACTCTCTCCAAATAACAAAAAGGAATAAGATATAATAAATAATATAAATAATAAAAAGCAATAAGATATGAGTCTTAAAAATATAGTGTCAAAATATATACTTTATGAATGTACAGAAACAAAATTTTGAAAGAAAATACATTAAAAAATTACAGTAGTTATTTTTACAGCAGTAAAGAAAGATCTTACAGCAGTCCAATTATGGGAATTTAAACTATTCATGCTTTCTGTATTTCTCACTTTATAATGTGTGTGTGTGATTTTGACCATTGACTATGCTTTCAAAATGTGAATCTGGATTCATGACTGAGATCACATGACAAAATCAGCTGTAATACAGTT